GCGGGCCAGGCCACCGCAAGACCCTCCCGCTCGCATCCACGCCATCGAGCTGAAGTCCGCCACAGGGGCTCTTCAGTCCGCTGATTACAGATGGGAAAGCCGGTCTAAAACGGGCGTCTCCTCCCAGGTCACAAAGTTATTCGAAGCCGCAGCTAGAAAGTTAACTGCCCCCTCCTTAAGCTTCCTGACCACCACTCTGAATGTATGCGCCCAAATTACTTAACACACAGGGTGGCGCAAAAGTAGGTTTGCAGTTGTGAGTACGCAAAACAGAGTTTATTCTTATATTAGTATTTATTAATTATTGTATTATTTTCCATACAAACTATAAACCTACTTTTGCCCATCCCTGTACTTACAGATTAAACCAGAATTTCCCAGCCTTCATTCCCCTACCTCCTTCATGACTTTGCCATACTATATATTATCTCTACTATTACTCACTTTATATTTCCTTTAAATCTACTCCTTTTTACATACACTAACCTAGCTTCCTGCTAATGAAGGGAATGAAAATTCTGCCACCCTGAAGCTGCCCTTTTGAGATACTGATTTTAAGGTGTTTATTAAGAAACAAAACTCAGATAGAAACGTTGGCCTTCCCATCTTTCCTGCCCAGGAGGTTCAGGCAGAGAAACCTGCTTCTGGAAGGAGCTCTTAAGATGCTTTCTTAGCCTACTTGGAATTAAGCGTGGTTAGTAAGAGGGCCTCGGGCAGGCGCCTTTGGCTGGACAGCCCAGTGTCCCATTGTTTCTGAGTCACGTTAGGGGGACATCCCTGCGATGCTTGTCCTGCTCTTCCTCAACGACTTATAAATCGCCCACTCTCCCGTCTAAAATCAAAATCCCTGTTACCCTCCTTTTCTGCTCTGTCCAAAATGTCTTATACACCCAACGTTGCCTGTCTTTGGAATTTTCATGCTTATGTGGATTCTCCATGCTTGTGGATTAAAATTTGATTTTCTCCTGTTATGTTAATTTGATTAGCCCAGCCCAGAAGAATTTAGAAGACAGGAGGAAAAGTATTAAATATTAATATTTTTAGCCCCCATAATTAATGAAAATATCCACACAATCAGGAGTGAGACATGCATTTTCCCAACACATCAAAATAAATATCTACTGAAATTACAATGTTTATCTCTGAACCTCTCCTGGGAAAAACAGGCCACCCTTTGTCATATTTGGGAAGATCCCCTCTATGCGTTCCAAGGAATTCTAACCCATGTCATGGTAATGAATGTGGTTGATGAAAAGTGCATATTAGATAAACCTGGAGGACAGTAACTAAAATAAAGTGAAACAGTTCTGACTTCTTTAATTGTTAGATATCGCCAGGCCTTTCATCACAATACACAATAAGGCTTTCTAACTGGCGAATAGAGCACAGCATTTCCACAGTGTATTTGACCATGACACCCTTTCAACTAGGTAGGATCAACACTGAGAATATGTTCTAAGCTGTATTACTTTCAAAAGGTTACAGTTTTACTCTTTGGAGTCCATCCATTATAAAAATAGATATTGTCTAAAATAATTTATACTGTTCTCTATTCTCATATTTAGAATATCTTTATAATGGGGAAAAAGAATGGATAGAAAAGCATATTTCCTCTGGTCAGTCTCTTGGGGAAAAGGTAACATGCCTCGTTCCGAGAGACACACCTGCAATGATACTGGACCTTCTAAAATATAGATAACTTCTAGTAAGTCACCCAAATCTCCTACCTTATTAATAGTAGTTGATGACACACAGGCTCTCCTTTCAGGTTTGTCTTTTGCTGCATTGAAGACTTCTAGGTGGAACTCCATACACCGCACCTGACCTGTCGGTGTGCCTGTGAGATGCACAACTGACTTACCACCCGGTCATTCTCTCCCCGCACCACCCCCAGGGTTCTTCTCTGCCTTCTTCCTTCCTTTCTCTCTTTCCAGATCTACCACCTTTCAAACGCTTTGATATAAAAAACCGAAAAGGAATTTTTCATTGTCAGCATTTTTACCCTTAAGTATTTGTGTTACCATGAGAAAACATCCCATAGTTACTAAATTAATGCCTTAAAGCCAAAGCATATAACTATTTCTCTCTATTGGATTTTCAAATAAAATTAAGAACTAAGACTCAAAGCAAAGAAAATGCTGTAATAACTTCAATATTTATGTTAATAAAATAAAGTATCACTTGGTAAGGAAGAGTGCTGGTGTGGTAAAAACAAGACCATGCACCCATTCAGAACTTGAGTATATTACTCCTAAAACTTATTTTTTCCCGACAACCAATGTTTCAATATATATTCTTCTTCCATACCTTACAAAGGTTATCAAGTTATAGAGTAAATTTTTATTCTATAAATTGTTTTGTATTCAAAAATACTTATTAAGTGGAAAGCTGTGTCCTTCTGAGATTCCTCATCAAACACTGGAGGTCAGAAAAATATTTAAGAAAACGACTCTGCTCTTGCAAGTGTCCACACTGAACACTGATGCACTGCAAAGAAATCAGCCTGAATAATCTCAATTCTTTGAAATAGTTAAGGGAGGTACAAACTGAGACTAAATACTGAGTTTTCTCTTCTCTCTGGTGCTAGAGTCAACTGTACACTGCACTGCATTCAGAGTCAAGAAATAAACAGCATTTTACCCTTTTGGCAAAAGAGATCAGCAAGAGTTCAACGTGTATGAATATAACTAAAAACATGTATTCTGCTCTGCACAACTAAGAATTGTTAAAGTACACGAGCATCAAGGACAAAAGATAAAATAGATATAATAAATGTGTTATCGTTTAGGGAAATAGTACCCAAAGGATTCCATTATTACAGAAAATTATGCCATTAATTTTGAATGGATCAACTTCCCAAATAATTCATTTTATATATGTTGAAACATCATAAAGTATTTACCAAATAAAGTTAGGTTTCAATGGTTACAATTCATTTTTTTTCCCAATCATTTACTCCCTGCTTGACTCCCCAAATTCTACTTGAGGTATTGAAAGATTTAGCTAGTTCATTAGCTGAAAACATTCAGACTGAAAAGTCACAATCTGACCCAAGTACAAGTCATTTCTGCCTCTTCAGCAGCTCCCAAATACAAATGTGGGTATTTTGCATGAAGGCATTTATTACACTGTTAGATACATTCTGGACATCCTTGAGGTTTCTTTTATAGTAACATATGCTTTGCAGGACCCTCTATCCTAACTGAGATTTTTTTCTAGCTACATATTTAAAGATCAAGATCTCTCTCCTGCTACATACACCCTTTCATATTCTCTTGGCAAAAAGTTTTCCCTCCAAAGAAAAAATCCTGCTAAAGGTTCTTCATGGCCCCTCCAGAACTGCCCAAGCAAGGAGGACGTCACACACATACCTACACAGGTCTACAAAACCACCATAGTAGAATCTCTTCGAACCAGTTCTGCACACGCCACATGCTAGATCAAGCATGGCGACGAAGTGTCCTTTCTTCTGCCATCACTGGTAGCTTGGTGTTGGGCCCCTGAAAGAAGGAAAAATGTTGATTAGCAAGGTCTGTGGTGAGTAGGGAAGGACAAAAAGCCATAGATGATCATCTCCCACTCCTCTCATTTGCATCCAGAAGTTTATGCAAATCTTTACTTACGCCCATCCCACCTCATCTTCATAAGAGATGCACCAAATGAAAGCAGATTTTCTCAGTGCCTTTATTTATTTTTATCTTTATTGTTGAAAGTATTACAGATGTCACCCTTTTCCTCCATTAACCCCCTCCAGCCTACTCCCGCCCCCTCCCCAGGCCTGTTGTCTGTGTCCACGGTTATGCATATATGCATATAAATTCTTTGGTTAATCTCTTTCCGCCCTCTACTCCTTCCCTCTGAAATACTTGGGTCTGCTGTATCCTTCAGTGTCTCTGGATCTATTTTGTTCAGTCAGTTTATTTTGTTCATTAGATTATCTTTACATCTTGATAGAGCTACAGGGACTATAATGCCACCTGCCGGGAAGGTTTACCATAGGCTTATCTAAGATAAAGAGAAAGATAGAGATGATTAGAGATGGAGATATATATATATAGAGAGAGAGAGAGAAAGAGAGAGAGAGAGGGAGAGAGAGAGAGAGGGGATAGAGAGGGAGGGAGGGAGAGGGAGAGGGAAAGGGCTTGTATAATCCCTGGCACATTCACATTACTGACAACAGTTTTCACTTCATTGTTATGTGTTGGCTCAAACTAAGCAAGAAAGTTGATTTTGGTTGTGTTTGTGAACAGAAAAGCCAGGACTTCATAAGGAAGTATTTGATCATTTAAATGTCATAGAAGTCGTCTGTCCCCTTGGTAGTTGCAGGAGCTGTAAACTACTTCACATAAAATAGAAAATTAAATAGTGGTTATAAGCTCATCAGAAATATTGTGAAGGATTTTCTGCTTCCTGGGAACACGGGGATGGGTGGTGAGTGGCTCGGTGACTATACCGTCATTAGTCAGAGAAGCTTTACCTTTATCTTGTGTTGGAATGTGGTAGCTTTGGTCTTCTGTTGTGTAACAGGTGGGGAGAGGTCCCTGGGGAAGGGGAAGCAGGTGGCATAACCCAGTGGTCAGCCCCCCTCCCCTGCAAGGTCCTCACACTGACTCCCTGCTTCCAGGCAGATGTGCATTCATCTCTTCCAAACAAATGTGTCTCATTTTTTCATACAAAGATCTCCAATTAAAAAAATCAGAGACTTATTCTGGAAGAGAACCAGGTGAATTCTGCATCTGGGGTAAAATTCACTAATATCTCATTAATTAACACTGTGATTACATAGCCAATATTAAATGTACTCCTGGGCAATTATCTAATGCAGCGCAGCAGTATAAGTAGGCAATAAAAATCATTTCGTTGAAAGTAATTCTTCCCTTCTCATTAAAAGACAGGGAAGGGGATTGTCTGAATTACCTGAATAATTACCTTAATTCTCTCTTTGTGAATATATACACAACCAGTCTTTGGATGTTTGGGGTTAGGCTCAGGCAAAAATATGTTCTATCAAAGTTATAAATACTCAACTTATTGCAATGCCCTCTAAACAATTTATGCCCAACAACTAATCATACAATCATTAGAAGTGAATTTTGGGGACATGATTGTATGTAATAATAATAACTGCAATAATAGGCTAATATTTGTTTTTAATATGAAAATGACATTTTATTTGTATTAATTATTCTATTACTTAAACTTCAAAAGAACCACCTTAGTAAAAACCACTTTTCACTACAGCCGCTCCTACCACGGCCTTGAACCCAGATTTTCTTTATCTCAAAGCCAATGACACTGAGGAAGAAAGAAAAGAAGACTAAGAGTCATATGGATAGAGATCCAGTTGGGCTAATACAGAGGCTAGGGGTGCAGGCTTGGAGATCCGACAGGTCTAGATTAAAATTTTTGCCCTGTCACTTATCAACAATGTGACCTGTAACTCACTTAACCTCCCTGCACTGGGTGGAGTTATGATTCACAAGCAACAGAAACTGAGTATGGTCAATTTAAGCAGGAAAGGAATTTATTAGAAAGACAATCAGTCACACACAGAGTCAATAGGAAAGTTTTCAGTAGCACACGGGTGGTCAGGATGCCTCAGCCAGCAGCCACTTCTACTGCGGGAACCGCAGCACCACCATCCCCAGAGGCTGTGTGGTCTTTTTAAAAATAACCAAACTTCAGTTTGCTCATCTATAAAATGGAAATATTACTAGGTAGTACCTTTCTTGTGAGAATTAGATACATAAAGCACATGTATAAAGCGCTCAGCATAGTGTCTCACACAGACTAAGCACTGGATACATTTCAGCTGGCTGAGGCATCTGGACCAAGTCACATGGCTTTTCTGTGCCTCCGTTGTTAATATTAAAGAGAGATGCTTCCGATCATACTATATGAGTCATAGGCTAACCGACAAAACAAGCAGCCCCTCAAGTCTCAGTGGACTGTTCCTCTTTCATTTCATTGTCCCATGAGGGTCACTGGGATTGGAATGAGGGCCCCATTCCATGCAGGTATTCAGCGACCCAGTCACCTTCTCTCTAATGGCTCTGTGATCCACGAGGGCCTTGTATCTTGTTGGCAAAAGAAGGCAGAGAGCAACTCTGTGGATCAGGGTCTTTCAAGGACCAGGCCTGGAAGCGGACGCATCGCTTCTACCTGCATTCCATTGGCTGGAATCCAGTCGCATAACCACATAACCTTCACATAACCACAAGTATGAGAAATAACATCCAGCTATGTGTTCCAGAAAGAACGAAAACAGCATTGGGGAAAACGTGACAATCTGCATCACACCTGCCGAACATCCTCAGAAAGTAACTAATAAGATCATAGTAAGAGTGAAAATGCTGTGGAGAGTGATTAACAAACTACAGATGGTGGCGGTGTGGTTGATTCAACTGAAGAGTGTGTATCTTCTGAAGTGCTAAAATATTCAGCAATTCGGGGGGTGTTAGAAGAAACAGAAATCTAATCAGAATGTCCATTATCCTGTAGATGAGGCAACCTGAACTCATAAGGCTTTCTCTCTCCAACTGTGACTTCAAAAATGATCCACAATAAGCAAACCATCCCGTTTCTTTGCTCATCAGCTCAGTCTACAATGGGTGTGCAGTCGAAATATTTGTTTGTAGCAAAAAGGGGGAAAGAATAAAAGGGAAGGAAGCCCTCACTTGGAGGAATGTAACTGCCAGAGAAAGATGCAGCCTGAAGCAATCACTTGGTGGCAACCAGCCTCCTCAGCAGTAATTTATCACCATGTGAACAGGCCAGGGAGTTCATCACAGTACTGACACGTGCAACAACTCCACACGCTAGACTCAGCATAAAATTCATGCTTAGAAAATGAAAATTATTAGGAGGCCTCATGGTTGCCATGCACCACGAAGATGGGAGGGCGGCCATCAGGGCCACAGACACAATCCTGGGCCTCTTTTCATGCCCAGGGTCAGGTGATTGGCACGCTCGTGATCCACCGAACCAACTGGGTGAGCCTGTGGAAGGCGAAGGTGTCCAAGGCCACTGTGTTCTTTGTACCAGATAGATGCCTTTCCCACTGTTTTGAGTATCCGCATGGCCTGTCATGGAAGACAGAGAGCAAACACTCTGCACAGGCATTGCTCCATGAACGTTAGTGCTTTAGGAATGCTCTAGATCGGGCCAGCCTGGGCTTGGTAAGGGGTCCAGGCCAGACCTGATTCGTCCTGCTGCTTTCCTCCCAGCAATTATCCCCTTTTCTTACCCGTTCCTTTGACCCAAGGACAATTCAACCGAGTCAAAGCAGATGTGGCTGGTAGCCTCCAAGCAGCCTTCTCTTTTGGGTTCTCACCGTACGGTGTTTACTCAAAAGAACAGTCAAATAATTAGCCAGGAGAGAGCCATCGAACTGGTCAGGCAGGCCATTCTTGGGTTAGTCCGAACCTTCAGAAAGGATTTAATGACAGTTCTGAAGAGCTGAACCAAGGTCTCCCAGCGCAGAGAAGTGGGGATTGAGGCAGAAACTGCAGGGAAGGAGAGAAGACAATGGTTACAATAAAAATACCTTCCTTGAAAATATATAAACAGTGACAAAAGCTGTTCACATAATCACGGCAATTCATTTCCTTCTGCGAAGTAGATTCCTGGCAGAGCGTACGGGAAATTGAACTACACGGTCCAGTTTTTTGAAGTAAGAACGATTTGTTTCCCAAATCTTCAAATGCCACTTCTGAAGGCTAAACTTGAAGAGGGTACAGGTAAACCTCATCACATTTTTTAGTCTTGTGTCCTGGATTCTTATTTATTTTCATCTACCTAATGCTACGGTGGAAAGAAACTTTAAAGGACTAGTAAGAGAAACAGCTCCATCGATAGCAAGCCCAATTTATCAATGACATGCTAAGACCTGTAGTATCTATTATCTCTGATTACTATGAAATTATCTCAGCAGTGTGCCTCAATTTTTATATTTAACATACTGTATCATGAAAAATTAACACATACTGTTTTCCATTTCAGGAACTTCAAATGGAAAGAAAACTGGAAAGATGTTTTTATTAGCAGAAAGTGAAACAAGTGGGACTTCCCACCTCCCCTTTGTATGTTTACCGACAACCGCCTGACAGGGTGATGACAGTGATGTAATGTGGTCAGTGGGGGATGGGGGTAGAATGTGCAGTTTCCTATTTCTAGTGTCGATTTGTTTTCGATGCTGACACGATGGTAGAACGTCCTATTCAAAGGAAGCACAGGCAATAGGAGGGGTCATAGTGGCGATTAAGAGAGGACGCTAGCCCAGTGGTGTGCCTCAGAGGCTGAGCATCGACCTAGGATCCAGGAGATCGTGATTCGAGTCCCAGTCAGGGCACAGGCCCGGGGGTGTGGGCTTGCAGGAGGCAGCCGATCCATGACCTCTCATCATTGATGTTTCTCTCTCCCTCTCCCTTCCTCTCTCTGAAATCAATAAAGACATTTTAAAAAGAGAGAGAGAGAGAGGACTCGAAGAAATGAACCAATCGCCATCCATTCTTTTTATGTTGGCTAAGAAACGTGTTTTTGTTTCTGAATCCCTGGTATTCACGAGGAAGGAAACGGTGTGAACAAGAGAGCGCTGCTGTATTAATATATCCACATGGTGCCTCACACAGGTCAAGCTGGGTCTACCGCTGAAACCTGGAGTGGCCTCCTGGCCTATGTTACTCGTCTGTAACTGTGCCACTTGAGAATAACTGGAGAACCAGATAAATTCGTAGGTTTGTTCATTCGGGAAATAACATTTAAGGACCCAGTGCCTGCGTATCACACAGGGGGACAGAGCTATTCTCTAACCTTGCAGGGAAATGCAATATGTTAAAATGCATGCCTAGGGCGCCAGGAACGGGGTTTTTCTAGGAACTTAAATTCTGTGAAGGCCCGCACTGTCTCACTTTATGGTTTAAAAATAGGGTGAAACGGTGACACCGTAACGTTTCACAATCTTTTTTAGTTCTGATTTTAGGAAATAGAGTAAAAGCAGCGAATGAGTATACAGAAAGACTGCTCCCACCATGAAAGAAATGAAACTATAATTCAAAGGGAGAAGGCAGAGCCAGCGGGCTTTTCCCAGAGTTGGCCGTGGAGGGGACGACTGGAGATTCCTCTGCTCAGTCTCTGCGCCCCGCACCGCCTTTCGGAGGATCCCCGCGAGGGCCTCTACCGCGGCCGGGGCAGGGCGCGGGGGGCGCGGCCGCCCCACGGGCAGGGCGGGGCT